GCGGTGGGTGGGAGGGGCAGGAGAGGGGCCCCACTTGGGCGCTTCCTTTTCTTCCCCCAGGGCGCCTAGGAGGGCGGGCGAGGCAGAGCCCCCAAGTGGGAGCCACCGCAGGACTCGGGCCGCGGGCACCAGTGGCCCAGGTCCCTCCCAGCGCAAGGAGGGAAGGTCCCTGCCGGCCTCGCTCTAGAAGCCGGGCGCTGGGGTGGACTCAGGTCAGAGACGCCGAGGTGTCTTTCGCTTTGTCGGAAGAGGAGGACATGGAGCTGCTTGTTGGGGACCCGGGGGTGGGGGGGACAGTTCAGATGAGTCCCGGGGCAGCTGCGGGTGCAGGGGAAGCCGCCCCACGAAGCAGAGCCTCGGATTTGTCCCCAGATGCATGCGGAGCAGTGTCTGGGACCACTGGGGTCGGGACACGAACTGGACATCCACCGCTCTTACCAGTGCCCCTATGCGGCAGGACGGAGCACAGGGGCCAGGCCTGTGCCCCTCAGTGACCCTGCCATTCCAGAGCGGGCAGCTTGGAGTCCCCGCTCCTCTTAACCGTTGGTGGCCTGGCCACAGCCCTATACCAAATTCCAGGGCTGGCTGCAAAATCCAACCTTCAAACTATTCACACAAAGCTGAGAGTCATCAGCGCCACATTGCTGGGGTCCCCTGGGAAGGAGAGCAGGAGCTACTGAACAATCAGAAGTGACTTGGAAAGAAAGCAGCTGTTCTTTGGCTCTCTGCAAACTCCACCAATATATTTGCTGATGCTGCTGGGAATTGCTTCCAGTTTTTTTTCCTAATTAAAAAAGAATATATGCATATTTCAGCATTGCCCAAACTTGAGGAGAAAAACCCAAATGTACAAAAACAATAAAATGGATTCACATCCTGTGTGTGGGACAGAATATTATACAGCCATGAAAATGAATGGGCTACGACTTTAAGAACGTGGGTGACTCTCACAAAAATAATGTTAAATAGAAGAGGTGAGCTGGGGGTATAGCACCAAGGCTCAACATGCCTACCTTGCATGAGGCCCTGGGTTTGATTCCCAGCATTTTACACACACACACACACACACACACACACACACACACGACACAGAAGAGAACAAAGTGTGACTACACACACATACACCACACACTTGGAGTCCTGAGGATTGAACCCACGGCTTTTCTGTTGGGTGATATCCTTAGCCCTTTTTATTTTTTATTTCTATTTGTATATTTTTGAGACAAGGTCTCACTGTTCAATTCAGGCTGGCCTTGAACTCACTATGTTGTCCAGGAACGATCCTCCTGTCTCAGCCTTGCAAGTGCTGGGATTCCAGGTGTGCACCACCCTGCCTGGCTACTTAAAATTGGGTTTTTTTTAAAGTTAGATGCACAAAGATAATATTTGCCTTCTCAGCATCAAATATGAAATCAAACCTAAAACACCTCAAAACATAAAAAGCTTTGAAAAAACTTTATGACCTAAATAAATGAAAAGGCATCACATGCAGTGTGTGAGGAGCTTTGTTTTTCAGTGGTACTAGGATGGCACTGGGGCCTTCACACTCAGCTCCATTCCCAGCCTTTCCTATTTTTTATTTTGAGATGAGGCCCTGCTTTGTTGCTGCCTTACCCAGTTTCATTGGCCAGTCTGGATTTGAAATGGTGATCCTCCTGCCTCGTCCTCCTAGACTGCCGGGATTACAGGTTGGTAAGGAGGTTTTATATTAAGGTAGCATTCTCTGAATTTATCTACTGGATCAAGGCAGTCCCTAAATTGCCAGGTAGCTTTGTGGGGAAATGGAAAACCTGGTCTTCAATTTGATATGGAATTGCAGGGGCCCAAAATGAGATTTAAAAAGAAATAACGCCACAAATAGCAAAAGGGAGAGAGAAAGCAAGCCGCAGTGTCTAAAACAACGAGAAAATGCGATCACAGGCAGCTGCGCGACAAGGGTTTCTTAGACATGAACCCAAAGCACAACCCCACAGAGAGGGGAACAGGCTACACGGGGACCCTCGGAAACCCTCTGCGGGCGTCTTGCTGGAGATCAGAACGCAGCCCTCGAGCACAAAAAGCAAACGCTAGAGCCGGGCGTGGTGGCGCATGCCTGTCATCCCAGCACTCGGGAGGCTGAGGCAGGAGAATCGCTGGGAGTTCAAGACCAGCCTGGGCTACACAGTGAGTTCCAGATCAGTCTCACTACATAGTGAGACCCTGTCTCAATAAATAAATAAATAAAATAAAGTTGGGAGGGAAAAAAAAGCAAAAAGCAAACGCTGAACGCTGGGTAGAACCCTCAGAACGAGAGAAAACAGTCGCAAATCCTGTCCCTTGTAAGGGCCCAGTCTCCAGCAGAGGTCAAGAACGTGCACGGCTCGACAACAGCAAGACGCATTAAGGACAAGCAAGTGCACCGATGGCTGTCCCCGCAATATGAGACACGGATGTCGCACTAGCCTGTGGGGGGACGGCGACCACCACTCCACACCCACGGGACACGACCTCAAGACGCGCGAGAAGCTGGAATCTTCTACGGCACGCAGAGTCGCCAGGTGACTGGTGGCTCGGCCTTGAGAGCGACTGAACACCTCACGCCCGCCAAAGCGACTGGGATGCCAGCCTGCGAGGCCCTGCGTCGGTGGCCCCCCAGGTCGGCGACGGGGCGGTGGGGCTACCCGGTGTGGGGCGGAGATGGGGGTGCGCTGAGGCGTGGGGAGCGATGCGAACGCGGGGCTGGGCAGTAGCGCTGCCTCAGGAGCTCGCGAACACGCTGGAACCAACAATTCGTAGTAAAAGGAGGCCAGGAGTAGTCTGAGAACTATCTTAACTAAAAATATCAAATATTCAAATAAGCAAAAAGCGTGTACATTGGGAATCGCTTTTTTCTTTTTTTTCCTGGTACTGGGGATCGAACTTAGGACCTTGCCAGGCAGGCCTAGCACCACTGAGCTAAATCCCTGGCCCTTTTTTTTTTGTTGTTTTTAAGTTGGTTTTTTTGGTTTGGGGTTTTTTGATATCAGGGATCGGACTCAGGACCTTGCATTTGTGAGGCAGACAGAGGCATCACTAAGCTAAATCCCCAGCCCCCTTGGCTGTATATTTTTAAAATATCAGTATGCTTTTTTTTTTTTTTTAAGTCAAGGTCTCGCTATTAGTTCAGGCTGGACTTGAACTCGCGGTGGTCCTCCTGCCTCACCCTCTGGAGTGCTGGAACTACGGTCGGGTGCCACCACCCCCAGCAAAGTATACTTATTTAGGGAAAGCTGGAACACTCACTCCTCCGAGCCATCACCGAACTGTCAGCACTGCGAGTACCACCCTGGGAATGCGGCTCATACTCCGGGACTGTTTTGGTGGAGGTGGAAGGAATGTCTCTAACACCCTCACCCTGCACAAACTGGCCCAGAGGGAGGAAGGTAACACTAGCCCCCGCCCAGTACGGGATGTCCTAGCCATCTGGCAGAAGCAAGGGTAGCCCCGTGGGGGACTGGGAACTGGCCGCGGAGACCACGGTGGGGGGTCTGGTGTGGCCAGTGGCGGGGGTGTGGCCATGGCAGAGCCAGTGGCTGGGCAGCGCGGGGGCGTGGCTGTGCACAGAGAGCCTGAGCCGGGCGGCTTGGTGGGCGTGGCC